TATCTATCCTGTTTATGTTAAAACACAAGGATTTCAGATATTGTCATTATAAGGTTCTACATGTTTGTGAATTTTTACAATAGATGGAGATACATAATGTATATTTTAAGTTTGTTTGTTTGTAATTAAGTACAAAGCTACACAATGGGCTATCTGTGTTCTGCCCACCAAGGGTATCGAAACCCGGTTTCTAGCGCTGTAAGTCCGCAGACATACCACTGTGCCACTGGGGGGGGGGGGGTATTTTAAGTGAGTGTATAATAAAGAATGCATAATCATGTTTTCCTGAACTGGAATCATGGCTACAATATTTTGATTTGATAAGCCTCGGTTCGGATTTTAAATATTTTGTTAGTTCTATAATTCTGAACAATAAGAGAAAAAAAAACACCGCTCCCTCAGTTGGTCATATGGAATAGCAGTAAAGTTAATCCTGTCATACAGTTGCGCGAGTGTAGAGGTTTTAACTATCGCGTTGTTCCGAAATATAGGAATGATTTTAACCAGACAGTACCAGTCTTTAAGGAGATCAGAGAAATATGGGTCTGGTTATTTATTATAATTTACAGAGCATATGCACACTATTAAATTTGAAATAGTACAGAATAAATATTAGTTACATTCAACACACGGTTTGATCACATGATATATATATATATAGAGAGAGAGAGAGAGAGAGAAGAAAGTAAAGACAACTGTTGACTGATATATTCACTGTACCATACAAACAGCATGTCTTGCCTCTCCACGTAACTAAATGCTCTTACCTGAACGCGTCGTGTGGGGACGGGCACTTCGAATGTTCGTCAATTTCTTAAAAGAAAATTAGGCTTAAAACTTGTTTAATTGTTTCCTTGTTTCGTTCCACAGTTGAAGGTACCTCTTATCCTTCTGTCAATTTAGTCACACAGGAATGCCCATTACTTCTGTAAGACTTAACAGAGTTGGGCTCTAAGTTTTGATTTCGGCCCATCGGTGCTTACGAGTTGTGGGCTGTTTAGCTTTGACTACAGCAGCAAACCTGCTTTCGTGTCCAAGGTCAGTCGCTGTGACAGGTTTAACTTCAAGCAGTACAGGTAATGCGAGGTATTTGAGAGATCTAGTCAAGCCCCCACTATGTTGTTCAATTGCCATCTTCTTTGCACTTGTTTCTAAACGTCCCCCCTACTTAACTAAAACTTCTGGTATGACAATTTTTTTCTACTTATGAATCTAAAAAAATGTGTATGTTTTATCAACCCACGTAAATAAGTATATTTGTCTGTTTCATACCTAGGCCATACTAGAAACAAAAAAAAAATATATATAATACGTTTTTTTAAAGCTGAAACACTGACTCTAATGTGATATATATATATATGAATATATATTTAAACGAGCAAAGCAAACACAAACAATTTATTTTGCTCATTTAAATATCATTTATCATAGGTTTGGATTTGCTGTTTTTAACGCAGTCCTTCCTATTGTTTTTATTTTACTTGACTGTTTAAATATTTATTTTCTATATATATATATAATCAAATTACAGGCAGTTTTATTTACTAATTTGTAGTTCATATGAAAATGTACTACGTATTTGTAACTTGTTTTAAGATGTATAGATGACGCTAGTGTACAGAAATGATAAACATTTCAGAAGTACAGCACTTAATTTGGAAGTTTATCAAAAATTTCATTTTCAGTGTGTGTATTAATAATAAGTCTTCGAAAATTAAATATATAAATTTCATTTAGTTTTATCAATACAAATGTGTTGTAAAGTGTGTATATCGTATGGCCAAATATGGTTATTTTGTTAGAAAAAAGGCAACATCATTCAACACCAGTTCTTCTGAAGGGGTAGTAGAAATTGTCTGTCACTCCTATAACTCACTCATTGTTCCAAAGTAATGAAAATGGTTTATAAAACTTTTTGATTAGTAAAGAGGTGCGAACCACAGACCCTTAGAGTTTGAAATAATTACAACAAAAAGCGCACTAGATATGCTTGAAAATATAGTTGCCCAGTGAACACTCATGAAAAGAGAATATATTAATTCAAGGTCCTTTAGAACTTGTTTCAACTCGCACGAACGGGTTCGAATCCCCGTCCTACCAAACATGCTCGCCCTTTCAGCCATGGGGGCGTTATAGGGTGACTATTCGTGGGTAAAAGAGTAGCCTAAAAGTTGGCGGTGAGTGGTGATGTCTAGCTGCCTTCCGTCTAGTCTTACATTGCTAAATTAGGGACGGCTAGCGCAGATAGCCCTCGTGTAGCTTTGCGCGAAATTCAAAACAAACAAATATGTTAGCTAATCTCCACACGTCTGTACCCAGCTACTTGGGCGTTTGCAAATAGGGTATATTTTCTTAGTTTATTTACAAATAAGAGTTAAATATTGTCAACCTTTACTGATAAATATGAAACGATAGACTTTTTTTATCATTGTGCATCTTGTGATAGAAGCCGTTACGATACGATAAGAATCGTTGTTTTATAGATGGTTTTGATAGAACTAGTTTCTAATAATAGACCACATTCACCTGAAGTCTTGTGGTATACCACGTTTCGGTTCTGATGGATACTTTGTTTGTTTGCTTGGAATTATGAACAAAGCTACAAAATGGGCTATCTGGGCTCTGCCCACTACGGGTATCGAAACCCGGTTTCTAGCGCTGTAAGTCCGCAGACATTCTGTTGTGCCACTGGGGTGCTGATGGATACCTCAGTATAGAAATCAAAATGTAGTTTGCTACAAGACTCCATGCAGGTTCAATTCTTTAAAGTCTGAGTCGTTAGATTGGTCATGCTCTATAATTGTGTCTTTGTTAACTATTTTTTATAAATAGGTTATATAAGGGGCATTTCCATTAATTTATACTAGTACGAAAACTCAGTGTATTTTCCTTCACATAAATGGGTTACAAAATTCGCTACATTGTAGTTTCAATCTAACATTAATAAAATATCGTGCGAAAATCTATTTCTCTGTTTATTTGTCTCTCTCTCCGCACATCTACCTTTAAATATTTGACTGTTTTACTGTTAATAGATCTGTCTCTTTAAGGTTTAAATACCTGTGAAATACCTCAGTACAATTTATCTGAAGTCTGAAAATATTCACATTCAAATATAGTTTTATTTATGTGATGATACAGCTAGTATTTATTGAAACTTCATAAATAATCCTCATATTTAGTGAAAGAGATAATAAAGAAAGCCAAGAAATGGATTTGTTTATACACACAAAGTTATATATATGTATTTGTTTTATTTCGTTTTATTCTACACGCATAAGCTATGATCAATAATCTAAAAGCAACAAAATGCAAGCAATTCTTAATTTACACATTTTATATTTAATAAAGTGCAAAATATTAATTTCTATGATCGAAGCTGTGTTTCTAGAGCGCCATCTGTTAACGAACTATAGACTTTGGTAAAAACGTTAGAATATATAACAATATTTTAGTCATTATACTATGAGATATTTATTGACGGCAAGAAAAATTTTGATCTATAAACCAGTCATGCCGTATATAATTTTCAGAAGAAATTACCCTTCAAGCAATACGTCAGTGACTGAAATCATATTCATTAGTTGTCAGATTTCAGTTGAAATTACAAAGTGTCCGAAAATATGTTGGTTTTCAGAGGAAGTATAGAGTGAAATAATAACTTGACTTCAATTAATAGGTTCTATTATGGATCTAATCCTTTTTTTATGAAGCTACAAAAACATAAGCTAGAGGCACAATAATTTGATGCTGTGGTGCTAAGATATTGCCAGTTAAAAAGTGTATATACCCCTGAACAACGTGTAGAACTTTAGTTGAATTTTAAGACTTGTTTAAAACAGGATTCAAGTGGATTTATGTTATCAAGTAGCATACACTAGATTCAAGCATAGGGTAAGGTAGCTATGTTGTAACGTTAGGGAGAAGGGTGGTTTAGTTTCACGCAAGAGCATTAGTAAGTTAGCTGCTTTGGCATCAAGAAGTTAAAGCTGAGGGTAGATAGGGGTTTTGATATTTTACGATATCTCAGACTGATAATTTAGCAGTTTCAGAGCATGGAGCTTGGTAATACTTAAATGTTCATTTTGAAAAGTTAAGGGAGAGGAAAATATGAGACATAGTTTAAAACATCACCGATTTGGTTCCTACTCTTCATTTTTAATGTATAGGAAAGGTTAATTGTGGTTTCTTATTCCAAACTCGAGGTTGAAGTCAGACAGCTGCATTAAGAGCGAATAAAGACATGATCAGGACTCTATAACTTAACTTCTAAAATAAACTGATTATCAAAACCATGATAATGAATTTTAAAAAGTAAAAGTTGAAAGAATGGTGATGTTTAAGTAAATCACTATCAAATTACTACAACTGTACGTGTGAGTAAGATTTCACTTGAAGTGTAAATCAGGTCACGTATGACATCCACTTTTGGTATCACGCACGGCTTTGAAACTATTAATGCTAAATTCGTAAGGTTCTAACACAAACAGTAAAGACTGAGACCATGGTGCTGTGAGAAGAGACAACAAAGTGTAGTCCTTAATTCTTCTGAATTAACACTTGAGGTTTGAGCTAATTCCCGTTCAATTAAAAACAACGTTTTCTGAGTCTTAGTATTTTATGTTTATAAAGTATGCATCATGTGAGTATATACTTCTGAGCAGTAGAACAAAGTAGATGTTGTAATTGCTCGAGATATAAGAAACTTATAAAATTAATAATATTAGGTAATAAAAATCTAATATTTCCACCTAAAAAATTAAAGCTATCCCAAGAACTAGAGAAAATGATGAAAGAATGAAAATATAGTAGTGCAAAACTGTCCGCGAGGCGGCGTTGTCAAGATCGATATACCGACAGTCTAACTCCGTGTTGAAAACTTCCAGCAGAGATATGTTTTTTCGGTCAACACATTTTGCAATTCGTAAGTCTTCTAGTACTTGCATATATTGAGAATCTTGCTGATCCTGGTATTGCCTGGTCTTAATCCACTTGTATACCCAAGCGATGTTGCAGTCACAGATCCACTGGTTATCTGAGAGGAACAGATTCTCCAGGTTCCGTCTTTTCACCTAGATGACATAGAGAATTAATAACAAAACTACTTGAATATGATACGTTTACAAATTTATGTTGTACTTCAATCATATAAATTTCAAGAAGGGTATCAAACCACACAAACACTGAATGTATGAAAGTTATGTTGTGCTTCAATCATATAAACTGTATTAGAAGGTTATCAAACCACACAAACACTGAATGTATGAAAGTTATGTTGTGCTTCAATCATATAAATTGTATTAGAAGGTTATCAAACCACACATTGAATGTGTGAAAGTTATATTGTGCTTCTATCATATAAATTGTATTATAAGGTTATAAAACCATATAATGAATGTGTTAAAGCTATCACAAATCAGTGATTGTTGAAACTTTTTTTTTGTGAGTGGAATGTTTATATCTGGTGTTTAGTATCGTTCGAGGGCAATTTGAACTAGAAAGCAATTTTTTTTAGTGGATGTGTATACGTTTCAGCTTTGTACAAGAATATTTCAGGCCAGAAATGTATATCCTACATGGAATATTTCAGGCCAGAAATGTATATCCTACATGGAATATTTCAGGCCAGAAATCTGTATCCTACATGGAATATTTCAGGCCAGAAATCTGTATCCTGCATGGATTGTGCATGTATTTTCTTTTCTGATTAGAAGATGATTGAGAAAATTGATTTCATGCAATGAATAACCAAAAAGTTACAGATGTAAAATGCTTTTTACATTTATAATCTATAAAATACTTTGTTTTAACATGTAAAATGTTAACGGTAAAATATATAAGAATTCATCTAAAAGAAACAAACCCAATTTTCTTGTTTATATTCAGCTGACATGTCTTTAAACGTAAATAAATGGTGAATATCAGCTCGTGCTATTAATGGGTATTAAACGAAAGGCAAGGAAAAATATTGGATTACAACCTACCTCAGAAATAGCGTTTCCCACAAACTGGAGTCTGTTGTGTCTGAGATCTAAGCTGATGTTTTTTACATTTCTAATGCCTTGGAAGAACACCGAGGGTAGATGGGTGATGTTGGTTTTAATAATCTGTATATTCAGTTGACCTGTTTCTATATGGTGAAATGAATCCTTGCTTACGTGATGGAGTTTTTTTCCCTCGAGGGCAACATATTTAACCTTTTTCGGTAGTTTCACTGTAAAAACGTCTCTGAACGTGTTCTCCTGAACATGGAGATGAAGTCGTTGTAATCCAAAGTTATGTTCCAACATTTTAGCTATCTTGAAACTTCGGATCTGAGGATAAGTGTCTATTTCCAGTGTCTTCAGGACAGTCAGAGGCTCGAAAGCTCCAGGCTGGAAGTTTTGGACCGGGAGGTTCTGCATGTGAAGAACCTCCAGTTGATTCAGTGACATGAAACTATCATTAGAAATACTAAGAATCGGGTTCCCAGAAATGTCGAGTTGTTGGAGTCTGGGAAGTACGTGCCAGGCGTTATTTGCCGGAAGTGGAAGTAAATTATAGGAGATGTCTAAATGCCGAATGTTGGTGAGGTTAGCTAACGAAATAGAATGAATAAATTTCATAGAATTGTATGAAAGATTTAGGTGAAGAAGATTTGGCAGATCTAGTTGTGGGACAACGTTCAAGCCTGTGCCAGCTAGGTTCAGTGTTTTCAATGAATGAAACAGGTGATGGAACATTCTATCGTTTATCAACTGGAAGGAGTTATGGGAGAGATGTAGCTCCAGCTGTGAAGATGAAGACATATACCTATATATATATATATTGTTATTCAAAATATCATTGAATTGTGTATGTTATCGCTAGTTGAAATATTATCTTGATTTTAATGAAAATAACACAGACCTGCGATGGTTTTATTGTCTTGAAAGTTTTATAGGTTTTACAGTAATTCCTGAACAAAAAGTCCGTTTACTAAACGTTTTGCTATAATTGTTTGTTTATTTGTAATTAAACACAAAACTACACAATGGGCTATCTGTGCTCTGCCCACCACGGGTATCGAAACCCGGATTCTAGCGTTGTAAGTCCGCAGACATACCGCTGTGCCACTGAGGGGCGTTTTCCTACAAATTTCGTAAAATGCTAAATTAATTTCTAAGGCACAATATTAAATTTTTTTAGAGCTAAACAGGCCTGCGAATATAAACTTTATAAAAGTTGTTTCAGTTTTAATAACGGATTTTCTATAACTCAGCTACGAAAATTTCGAAAATATTCTACTTCTTTTTTTCTGTCACGTAAAGATTTTTTACAAATCGGGAAGAAAAACTCTTACTTAGATCAAATTATTATTTATTAATATTTATCACAATGAATATTTTTTATTATTATGTGTGCTTCTCGTGAGTTCTAGAACGATCGATAAGACTCTCACGTCGCGATTGGTCTAGATAAATCTATAGCCAAACAAAATCTATAGCAAAACAAAATGTGACCCGATTTCAATGAAAATGATTCACTTATGATGTTTTGTGAAATAATCTGTACGTTATGAAAAAAAATGGATATCAGTTTCGGATTCAGTAAGAATAATTATAATTTACTTTCAGTTAAATTATAAACTGTTGAGAGAAATAATATGTTTCAATATGGACAACCCATCTTTTACGAAATACATTGCTACCCACAAGTTCTACTTTTGAAATATTATTCGATATTTAAATTGTGTATTTTCTTCAGATGGTATAGATAAAAGTATAAACATTCACTGTGAATATTAACTTTTGATTACATTTCGTCTTGGTTTGCGATGTAATCATTTTAACAATTAGAAATGGTATAGACATATTTGGGTTTTTGCCTTTGATTTGTTTGAAATTTTCGCGAAAAGCTAAACAAACGCTAATTGCGCACAGCCGTCATTAATTTCGAACTGACAAACTAGAAAGAAGGCAGTTAGTCAACACTATCCTCCGCCAGCTCTTGAGCTATTCTTGTTTGACTATGATTCTTATAGAGCACCAATACTTCAAAAGTGCAGAGGGCGTTTTTTTTGCATTAACTGACGTGAGCCTTGAATACAAGGAGTCCATAAGTACAGCACGCTAACCGCTAGGCTGCACCTGGCCCTTTTGCCTTTGACATCTATTAATTTAGGCTAATGTTTTTAGTATAAAATACGAGCTTAGCACTTTAGACTTTACTTTACTGATTAGTGTATGTTTGTTTGTAATTAATCACTAAGCTAAACACTAGGCTATCTGTACTCTGCCTACCACGGGTATCGAAACCCGGTTTCTAGCGTTGTAACTGATTAGTTGAATATTTTGATTTCTTGGTTTTCTTTTGTTTGAAGTTCAGTTACATGTTACACAAATACACCGTTGGCTAATTTTTTGTGGTGTTGATATTTTGATTTTCCGTTTCAACCCTTATCGATAATTTAAACCATTGAAATTGATTACAAGTTAGTAAGAACGATATATATATATACATATATATAAATATTTGAGACACTTACAAGTTTATTAAGATGAGCCAGAGTTTCTCCCGCCAGTTCTTTGAGGAGGTTTCGTGAAAGGTCTAGAAACAGAAGATTGCTGAAGAATTTCACGTCGTCACTGTTTAAGAATCTTATGTTATTCACGGAGAGATCTAAGTATTGAAGTGTCTGGTTGACTGGAATAAGTCCGTTGTCGGGAAAATTTGATAATTTGTTGTTGGCCAGTTTTAGAATTTCTACCCGTGTACCTTTCAGAAGATCATCAGGAAGATTTCGTAGAATATTATTGGAGACATCTAGGACTCGAAGCTTCGTAGTTTCTTCTAACATGTCGGATGGCACATCAATGATTTTGTTGTTGGACAGATCTAGGATTTGAAGATTAGATACTTCTTGGAAAGCTCCAGCTTGGACCAAGCCAATATTATTATTATTAAGTCTTATGACAAGAAGATGGTGTATTATAGAAAACATGGACGATGTTATGTTAAACAAGTTATTGTTGTTTAAAAATAGATGAGTGAGGGAATTTCTTACAGAGTCAAAGTACTCTGGCTGAATATCACTTATATTATTGTGACTAAAGTCTAAAACCTTAATGTTAGCAAACGACCCTAAGGTATCATTATTAGGCACCAGCTCTTCAAGTTCATTGTAACTGATATTGACTTTCAAAGTAGACAGAGTGCCAATCTGGTCAAAACTGTCCAGTTGTATGTTTTTAAGTTTGTTGTGGGATAAGTCCAAGATTTGCAGACTTGGTAAATTTTGGAAAGATTCTGATTGAATATGAGATATCCTGTTTCCTTCAAGGCTTAAATGGATTAATGAGTTTAAATTTGCAAATCCACGTTTCTTAATCGTAGTGACCAGATTGTCGTGTAGTTTTAGTGACTGTAGAGTTTTCAGGCCTTCGAAGGCGTGGGTTTTAATCTCAACAATTTGATTAAATGCAAGATCAATTCGTACAATATTAGGTATATCTTGGTTCTTGAACAGACCGGATTTGATTTGAGTAATCTTATTAAAGTTTAAGTTGATTTTTTCCAGTTCGTACATGTCTCTAAATGTTTCAGTGGATAGTGAGGTGATGTAATTGCTGCTTAGTTCAATCTCTTGTAGACTGTGAAGTGCATGAAACAAAGCAGGCGGCAATCTTGGAATAGCTAAAGCCTGATGGAGGTCCAAAACTTCTAAAGAGTGACTAAAGGGATCAAACATTTTAGCTTCCATGTGTTTAAGATTATTGTGGGATAGATTGATTTCTTTAAGACTAGGAGTGGAAGAAAATGCCCCTTGTTCAATAAATTCAATAGAATTAAAAGCGAGATTAAGTTTTTCAAGACCTGGGCCTATCATTTCAAGATCATTTTCTGAGAGGGTGTTGGTTTTTAGACTTTTGACTTGTAGTACTCTCAAGTGCTGCAGATCTCCGATATCTGTAGTTGAAATGTAGGCCATATCTTGGCCAGTTAAGTCCAGCTGTTGAAGCGTAAAACGCATTTTTTGAAACACATTTTTAGGAATGGTAGAGATTTTGTTTTCTCTTAATGACAGAGATCGCAAGACTTCCAGTTCTTCTAATGCCAGTTTAGGGAAGTTTGACAAGTTATTGAATCCTAAATCCAGAACCTGGAGATGTTTTTCTAGTCCTGAGAAAGCATTTGGTGAAATGTAGTAAGCTTTACAGTTTCGTAAGTAAATTTCTCTTAGCTTAACATCCTTGAATGCTTCGCTGTTAACTGTTTCGATGGGGTTAAAGCTTAAGAATGTTTTATTTAAAATGTCAAAGTTCTTGAAGGATGATGGTTGAAGTGTTAGCATTTCGTTGTCTTCCAAGTGGATTTCATCTAGAGAAAGCTTTTCTGTAAAGGCAGGGGTAAAGATTGAATATATTTTATTACTGTTGAGGTTAACTATCTCTAAAGCTTTTAACCTTTTAAGAGCGAGGTAGGGAATATCAGAGAGAATGTTATTTTCCAGGTTAATATATCTAAGGCGAGGTAGATCACTTTGAAAAGTCGACTCATGCAGCTTAGAAATAATATTGCTACTTAGATCTAATACCTCCAACTGAGTTAGTCCTTTAAAGCTGTCTGGTTGTAAGTTAGAAATAGAGTTTTTACTGAGTCGCAGAATTTTGAGAGTATTTTCCAAACCATCAAAATCTCCTGGGATTATGTCCATGAGCTGGTTGTTTGATAGATCCAGAGATCTCAGCTTCTGCATATGTCTGATAGCCTTGCTGGGTACAATCACTATCTTATTGTGGCTTAAGTCTAGCTCCCAAAGTGTTCGCTCCAGACCTGCTAAAGCATTGACGGAGAGACTAGTAATAAGGTTCTTACTCACTTTAAGCTTCCACATGCCAGTACCTTGCAGACTGAAGTCTGGGAGTGATCGTAGTCCATTGTCTGTGAAACTTAGGTGGAAAATTATAGATTGGTTCAGATTGGCCGGTAGAGTGGTCATGGGGACACTGTGACAGCTGACAAGCCCCAAGTTTGGTCCTGATTTGGAACATGTACACAAAGGGTTAAACTGACATGGGGGATACTGGACTTGAATTTCAGAACCTAAGGCTGTTAGGAGTAAAGCCGTTAATACGACCAAGATCCTCACCAAGAACATCTGAAGAAAGAAAGAAAATGGATACGTCTTTATATTATCGCCAATAAAATAGGTATTTGTCATTTATACAATATTTCTGTCTCCTCATTTTATTATAAAATTAGAATGAGAGTATTTTATAGAGGTGAATAATAAGCTATATGTCTATCAGAAGAGCCTATTATTTTATATACAAACTTCATGTAATAATACTTCAGTGTTAAGTTAAATATTGTTTAAGAGAACACTTGTGGTCTTATAATGTATCGTTAGTGACTATAAACATAGAACGTTTTAAATCTTTGAAGTAGAAAGTTTTAAATAGAATATGCATGAAATCTGTAGATGTACAAATTAAACCTACCTCCCTAAAAAGCCGTGAAGCAGATGTTGGTCAGTGATAAGTTCTTGGATAGGTAGTGACCACGAAAATACTGTTCTACTCGTTAGTCTCTCTTGATAAGCGACAGAGTCAATGTAAGCTCTGCTTTTTATTAGATTAAAAGAGTCACATGATGCGCTAAAAAAAGCTTACAATGTGGGATGCAGTGTTTAAATCAACTTGAAGGGCGTGAAAACCTTTCGAAATGAGATGTGAAACCTTTCTGGTGCTGCCAATGCACATGGTGCCACGTTTTCACGAGATATATTAAATTTGAAGCCAGACTAATACTGAACGTAGCCTATTGGAAGATGTAACTTACCACGGAGATGTAGTAGTATAGTCGTATACCTTTCTTGTGCTTATGCTCTCAAAAACACATTATTTAACACGTTTTATTTTAAAAGATGTTTCATTTGTTATCTATACATCAAGAGTGTAGATGTACAGAGACTCGTAATGATTAATTCATTTTTCAAATATAGGTAATATGTTTGTAAGCTGTTTAGTATAACATCGTAGATATTTATCTTATGACAACAACAACCTCAACTACACAACATGTCAACCCTAGCTAACTAGAACTTGTAAGAGGAATAACTGATTGACAATCACATGCTTTAAAGTTGAATACAACTTTGAAAAAAAAAATATATTATATTTTTAAATTCGCATATACGTGAAAAGATAAGCGCCATATAGACGTATTGTTAAAACTGAATGCTGCAATGAAAACGTATGTGTACATATATAAGATCGTTAAACTTGTACAAATGCATATATATGGTGACTATAGAGTCAGTAACGATATTTGGAACAACCTGTATAACTGTGTAACATACGTTATTTTGCCTACACACATAACGGAATACAAAATTGCATTCCACTGTTTTCTGGAAATGACACTAGAGGCAGCACTATATAATCTCTTCAATATTACGATAATTTATTTCGATTAATGCATTCCTATTAATTATGACAATGCACACTACGGCACGTAACATCTCTTTTAATCGCAATAACCTTATTCATTTAAGGTTTGACTAGGTGTTTAGGGCGCTCGACTCGCAATCTGCGGGTCGCGGGTTCGAATCTCCATCCCACATAACATGCTTGCCCTTTCAGCTGGGGGGGGGGCGTTATAATGTGACGGTCAATTCTATTACTCGTTGATAAAAGAGTAGCCCAAGAGTTGGCGGTGGGTGGTGATGACTAGCTGCTTTCTCTCTAGTCTTTCACTGGTACATTAGAGACGGCTAGCACAAATAGCCCTCGAGTAGCTTTGCGCGAAATTCCAAACAAACCAAACCAGTTAAGGGATGGTTCTGAGTTATGTCGAACAATCTGCGAATTCAGTAAATCCTTTAACCAGCACTCAGCAGTGATGATTCCAGGAAAGTTTGCAGACCAAGCATGTTGAGAGTGACTTTTTATAAGTTTTTAACTAATCTGCTGAAAGCAACAGCAAAGCATAACTCAGGTCTTGTGTTGATCCTTCAACAATTTGCTTTGAGTGATGTGTCAGTATTGCAAACAGTTTAATTATAAAGCTACACCAGCTTGATCCTTGTTTCAAACTTAACATTTTGTTATACCTCTTTTCTAGCGAAAAAATGTTCCATTCATTGGTTATCAGATTTGCATGTACGACGCTCCTAATGCTATTTACGGAAACCAGGGAAACACAATTTACGATTTCTTCTACCTGTACGCAAGGTTTTCTATAAAATTTTAATCAACAACAAACTTATCAGCATCAACTCTTATTCTTTGAAGCTTTCAGACATGATTCCTCAACATTGATTCAGTTTCATCATCGTCCAGTCCGAACCATGTTAACTCAGAAACTAATTTTTAGGTGTTATATATACAATTATGTACAGACACAATTGATGACTTAGGGTTAAAACATCTCTTTCGATGTTAAACATTCCTGTTGCGATAGGCTTTATGCTTAAATCTCACGCATAAGGAAATATTTGTAATAACATTGTACAATTATTCTCAAAGTCAGTTCTACAATGTAGTACCCACGTATTGAAAAAGTATTTTTGAAATAATTTCAGAAGAATTTTTAAAACGTGAGGTGTTCTGCGATAATATAAGTGAAATAAAAGGCATAATTAATACGAACGATTGCTGGCTACAAGCTTACAGACAAAGGTTTTTCAAAGGTGGTTAATCCAAAATCCTCCCTTAAGTCTAAAGGAATAATTTGTTTACTGTACATGGATTGAATTTTGAAAGTATTTCAAGTACATTTTAGTAAATTATCATAATATCTGACATAATATTTTACTTTCAAACGTCTTAATGAACTTCAAAAAGATCTAGTACAGACATTCTTTAATTACTCATTACCAGGATATAAATATTTACACGTTATTTAATTATTTATTACCAGGACATAAATATTTACACGTTATTTAATTATTTATTACCAAGATGTAAATATTTACACGTTATTTAATTATTTATTACCAAGATGTAAATATTTACACGTTCTTTAATTATTTATTACCAGGATGTAAATATTTACACGTTCTTTGATTATTTATTACCAAGATGTAAATATTTTCACGTTCTTTGATTATTTATTACCAAGATGTAAATATTTTCACGTTCTTTAATTATTTATTACCAGGATGTAAATATTTACACGTTCTTTAATTATTTATTACCAGAATGTAAGTATTTAAAGCACGATCGTCTTAAGGCGTCCTATATGTTTTTTTCTATTTTATATTCAGGTGTAATTACATAAAAAATAATAAACGAAGAGCAAATACTCCAGGATGTATTGTTGTTGTACGGAGTAAAAGGTTAGAATACAATTCTTTAAATACAACATTAAAAGCTTAGTGTTATTATGAGGAGTTTATGGAAGCTCAAGCTTCGAATTAATTTAAAATGGTATGATATGAAAAGTGCACCTCTGGTGGCACAGCGGTAAGTCTGCCGACATTATAATGGTAAAAACCGGGTCTCGATACCCGTGGTGGGCACACCACAGATAGCCCGTTGTGTAGCTTTGTGCTTAACTCATGAAAACTATGTATATATAGTTGTTCTAAAATTTTAAAATCATTAGTTATATCCGCCATGAATTTAAACCATTATGAACAATGACCAGTGAAGTGCACATAAATGTATCTCATCTTCGAGCAAACTCGACATAACTGTACTACTGAGGCGTCACCACCTAGCTCCATCCTGTTTTACACGCTACCCGGATCCAAGTCCAAGATTAAGATGGTGCAAATCTGAGACAATGATTGGTAGCCGCGTTTGTCTGGATCTTTCTCGGTAGCGCTTCCATTGTAATGGAGGTATTTTCTTGGTTGCCTTGACTTCTATTATAATATCCATCAGATCGACTGTTATCAAATCGACTGATATGCCCAAACCAGCTGCGGGCATCGTTTTTTAATTACTTCAGAAACCGATGGCATGTTGTTTTGTTCTTTTTTTGAGATTTTCGCATTTGTAGTATCGAAACGGTTGAAGATGAGTAGAATTCTGTGTAGGAACCCCAGATAAAACTCTCTAGTTTGTTTTTCATAGTGATGTAATTGTCCAAAGTTCAAATCTATGAAGTAGGATTGGTAATACTGTCCAGTAACAGCAGGATCTTGGCATTCAGGTTGATACTTGCCTTGTTTGTTTTCTTTGTTGTTGTTGTTTTTTAGAGCCAAGCTACACAATTAGCTATCTGCATTCTATCCACCGTGAGGAATCGAACCCCAGATTTTAACTTTGTAACTCCGCAAACTTACCGCTGACCCACTGGGAATACTTGACTTTCAACGATGAAAATAGGTCGTGTTTTCAGAGCGCAAAGCAACAAAATGGACTATTTACGCTTTATCTACCTCGGAGACTCGAGCCAGGACTGTAACGTTATCAGTCCAAAAATCACCGCTAACGCACAGGTATCGAAACCCGGTTTCTAGCGTTCCAAGTCCGTAGTCATACCGCTCTGCCACTGGGAGCCTTTATTTAGCAGAGCTTATATTCGATAAAGAGATGAATTAACACTGTAACTTGTGTACGGTTTTTGCTTTAGTTTAATTAGGGCTAAACTTTACCGTACTTAATATTATCAGTCGCCCCCCAGTGACACAGTGGTATGTATGCGGACTTACAACGCTATAATCCGGGTTTCGATACCCGTGGTGGGCAGAGCACAGAGAGCCCATTGTGTAGCTTTGTGCTACAAGCAAACAATATTATCAGTTATTCTACGATTTAACATTAAACTTTGATAAGCTTTAAATATGTTGTACGAAATGTCTACTAAAATATATTTATATCCACCTTTTGTTTACATTTGTTGAAATGAAATGCGCGAGTATGCTCATTTGCAGGATAAACAAAAACCGAATTCTATTATAATAGATACAGTACACGAGATTCAAGTCAGAAACAATTAAGACTCTAATTATTAAAGAAAGGAGTCTACGTAACGTAATACAAGTGAAAACTTACTTGAATGGTGTTAATTCAAATCACAACCTGATTTGATTTTTGATATAACTTTTACAAAACAAAATGCAATGTTCTGGCGAATCATATCACTCAATATTATAATCAAACTAAAGATAATGGTGAAAAAAAATTATTTAAAACATTTTATCGATAATATTTGTATTTTTTAAAGAAAAAAACCGTAGTATAGTATTATTTCTGTTTGGGTTTTTAAGGTTTTTAAAACATTTTAAAGTTAACAAAGTACATTATTAAGCTTAGGTTTATAAACTTCTAAGAACATAATTTATCCAATTTTCATTATCCATGGGCCTAGCTTGGCCTGATGGTTAGGGCTGACAATCTGCAGGTCGCGGGTTTGAAGCCCCTTCATCGTACATGTTCGCCCTTTAAACAGTGTGGGCGTTGTAATGTTACAGTAAACTCCACTATTCGCTGATAAAAGAATAGTTCAAGAAGTGGCTGTGGGTGGTGTTGACTAGCTGCCTTCCCTCTAGTATATCACTGCTAAATTAGGGACGTCTAGGGAAGACAACTTTATGCAAAATTCAAAGTAAACAAACCAGTAGCCATGAGATTCTAGTATAAAATTTGGGAAAATAAAGTATTCTTACTTTCGTATTCTAGTTTTTCATATTTCAGAAAAAAGTTTAAGGTTCCATGCAGCATACCAAATTTGTCAAGTCACTGAATCTATCAAAAGGGTCAGGAAAGATTCCCAGGCATATCTGCTGTGTTATAGCATTAATAATGACATTACTCATACCGAGTTGTATAACAAATGTTATATTATATGTGTTCCTTTATATATATGTGTGTGTGTGTGTGTATAAATACAATGATTATTTGTTAAAGTTGCTTGGTGAACATACAGTTCGATAAAACTACATCTACAGTTATAGTAACAATAACTTTTTTTTATAAACTTAATGCTTAGTGTGATTGGAATATGAGTCCAAGGATTCATGGGTCGCGGCCGTTGATGCAAAAGCACGCTCTGTACTTTGAGACCGTGGCTGCGTTATAAGAATGAGAGTCAAATCCTACTAATCTGTCAGACAAGAGTAGCCCAAAAGGTGGAAATGGACCCTGTTGAATGGTTTCCTTTTTCTTGGTTCCTGATAGCTGTTGTGTCCACCACAGTGAATCTAACCCTAGATTGTAGCGTTGTAAGTCTGTAAATATGTTAATATGTTTCTTATACTGTATTGTTTGAAATGTATATATGTATTTGATAAGCTCTAATTATCTTGTATCTAGGTCTGGCGTGGCCTAATGATTAGGACACGCGACTCAAAATATGTGGATCTCGGGTTCATATTCCACCACCGAACATGTTCGCACTTCTAGCCGTGGGAGTGTTATAATGTTACGGTCAATCTAGTCATTCGTTGGCGGTGGGTTGTGTTGACTAGTAATCTTCCCTCTAGCCTGTCACTTCTAAATTAGGGACGGCTACCGCTGAAGGCTCTCGACTAGCCTTGCACGAAATTCAACAACAACAGCAAAAAAAAAACAAAAAAAAACTGTTGTAAATAAGGGTATAATCTTTAAATATTTCATTTCAAGAGTTTTTATTTTTATGTTGTCTAGTTTACAAATGTATAGGGTTTGATTTTCTATCACGTAATATTTTATTTCAAAAATTTTAATTACCTGTGAACCTTATATTTCATATAATGTTTTGTAAAGGGTTATTTTGAATAAAAGAAAGGGGTTGTTGTTTCTATTTTCATTTATGTTTAGCTATCTGTATGTGTTATTGAAGCCCTTTGGTTAGACGAGGGTATTCGTCAGTGCACGCGATTCGTATTTAGGGGTGGTTTGTTTAGAACCTTACCGTGTTCCGTGACGTTCTTCTTCCGTTTGACCGAAAGTAATCGGCATGGCCAGGTGGTTAGGGCACTCGACTAGCAATCTGAGGGTCATGGTTCGAATCCCAGTCACACCAAATATGCTCGCTCTTTCAGCCATGGGATAGTTATAATGTGATGGTCAATCCCACTATTTGTTGGTAAAAGAATAGCCCAAGAGTTGGCGGTGGGTAGTGTTGACCAAAGGGAGGAATGAGGACCGCTGGTCCTAAAAGAGCAAAGCCCACCAAGGAAGACAACCGCAGGTGGGGTGCCTTGATAAGGATTGAAGCTTGGTAGCATATTGCAAAGAAAGTTGCAAATGTCTGAGGTGAAGAGGAGATTCATGTGAATTAGTGTACACACTCAGAACTGGTGAAATGTATAAAGTCCTCATACAGAGCTGAAGCCCTAGATGAGTAAATGGCCATGTAACCCATATGAATGGTGGATTCACAAAATTCCATACCTCCTTGTAGTGTCATAAGCCTTCTCAAGATCAAAGAAGATAGAAACAAGATGTTCACTCTTGAGGAAGGTTTCTCTGAATGAAGTTTTGAGACAAATCAGCTGGTCCATGATGGAGCACTGTCGACAAAAACCACATTGGGTGGGCGAGAGGAGGTTGTTTGATTCAAGGAACCAAACAAGAAAAGCATTAACCACCCTCTAAAACCTTACAGAGACAACTAGATAAAGCAATTGGTAAATAATCTGAAGGAATCTTGGGATCCTTCCCAAGCTTTAAAAAAGGAGAACAATAACCTTGCACCATACTCTGCTATTTACTTATTCTCATCTGTGAATTTACTATAAATTAGCAATTATTTTATACCGAAATACCATGGAAACTTAATTTCCTTAATGATGGTAACTTTGTTCCATCGTCAATGATTGGTCGGTGCAACTTAAGGTGGGATTACGGTAGATAATGAATAGTTATGAAGTATTTTAAGGTAATAAAATAGTTAAATTTTTGTACGGAGAAATTAGTTACTCCATGAGTTAATCTTGGGAGGACATAGCCTACAGGTATTAATAAACATCTACATAGTTTATCTCACTAGAGAACATACAGATATTAAACCATATAGTTCTTCAGTGATACCTCTAATGGGAAAGTTCAGGAAGGCCAAACGGAAACGACATATTATGATGTGTGACTAGGATACCTGCAAGTTGCCTACATTCCATAATTGATTTTCGTACTTTATGCCCCTGAACATAAGTAAGTGTACAAAAGTTCAGCTTTCGCCTTAAAAATAAACAATAAGAAAAATACTAGTATGTGGTTTATCTTGTTTTGTTGGTTCTTTTTGATTATTCAGCAAAAATAATGCAAAGTCCAGTTCACCTAAAGATAATAATTTCAATTTATTTATTCAACTAACCGTTTTGCAGGTTGACATTCTTTTACGCAATTAACTGATAAAAATTACAATAATATAAATCATTTCTCGACCTTTACTATGTCTATCTCATCACAGCCAACCTGATAAGCCCTGATGGAAGCACTGTATACAGTAGATTTAGTGTGATTTACGTTTTATTTCATTTTTCTCAAGGTCTTATAACTATAACGAAGTTTTCTCCCGTTGATGTTGTCGTCATTCGACCTGCTTGCGGAATGAACTTACTTGTTCACCAATTCTTCTAAATTATGAATAAAGTAAATTCAAGTAAAATATATAATATTAATAAAAACAATTTGGTGTTTAAAAATAGTTAAATAATTTGACTTTAATAAAAATCGTAAAAACTAATTCTTATGTGCAATAATTTAGATAAGTTAAAAAAATTACAATTTATGGACTTAATTTAGTCCACACAAAAATAGTTGTTGTTCAAACAATTGATGTACAAACCCAGGGCTCCTTTTTTACCCGACGACTTCGATCTACTCGATCCAACATATCCTCTACCCAGAGAATACGAAGACTAGGACCGTGAATTTAACATATCATAAATACTTCTTTTGTTTGTTTGTTTGTTGTTAAGCGCAAAGTTACACAAAGAGCTATTATTTCTACTGTGCCCGCCACGAGTATCGAAACCCGTGTTTTAGTGCTATAAGCCTTCATACTTTACCTATAAGCAAGTTTTCTTTCATTATTTGTTTAATTCTAAAACAATTAATATTTTCTACATAATGTTTTAGTTTATCCATTTTATTTTACTTGCTTTGCTTTCCATTGATCTCCCAGCGGTATATCTACGGAATTACAACGCTAGAAACCGGGTTTCGATACCCGTGGTGAGCAGAGCACAGATAGCTTCACTTCCAATTCTGTTATCCTGTAAAAGCCCAGTCCGTGGCCGAATTATACAAGACGAAGAAGGAAGTTTGTGGTTGAAGAGGCGAAGGCTAGTCTTTCAGGAGGTAGCTTTGTTCAGGAGGATTTTAAACTCAGGGCTTCGATGATTAAATTATTTTCTTTTTCATCCGATAGATGTCTATACAGGCAATAAAGTCACTCTGTATTTCCGAAGTTATGACACGAAGTTTATATTTAATATTTACGCAAATTAGGTTACTTGTCTTACACTTCTCCCTGCCTTTCGTAAGTACGTTTACGCCTTATTTCTTTAGTAACGTCGACTGTACGTTAAGTAAGGTATTTTTATAGTTTTATTTTATTGTGTTTTAAAACAATACGGAAATTGTAGAATGACTTTAATGATACGAATTACAAGAAATGATAGGCCGATGTCGATATGAATTTTTATTGTTGTTCTAGTAAAGCTAAAAGAATGTAAATGGCGACATATATAAAACTTTTACTTGCTTGTGACTCATAATTTGGCCTCATTCCATAACAACTGTAGAATGAACCAGTAGCGGGAAGATCGACAAAACACATGCAGTACATGTAAACTAAACAACGACGCTGTACATTTACCATCTGCTAGATTGTTTTATTGATACACACGTATGAGCTCAGGTGTTTATTGTATGAAAAATGTATAGTTGTTTAATTATTCGAGTTTAAAAAGTCGATAGACAGTAACACAGGCGTAAAAAAATACATATGGAATAACTTTTTTTTTCACTTTGTTGTTATCTCGTGTGTATCATTGTTTTACACAATGGAGTAGGAAAGCTCATGACACATTGATAGTTTCTTTGACACGCGAGCTAATATCACGATTTCTTGTTACTACACTAGTGTTACAGCCTTAACTGTATTTAACATACTGACATAACAGCCAACTTTGTTCGGGCTTACGAGAAAGTACTTTAACTTGTGTATATACTCAGTACTTCAGTAAGGCTGTGCTGATGGAATATCAAGCGTTTCTTTGTTTAGTAGCCTGTAAGATCAACTTAGCGACTTATTATTGTTGATTTTTCATCTGTAATTAGTTTTATTCTACGTTTCGGCTGCTAATTCTCCAGGATATCGAATTCCAACTCTTGTTGTAGCATACGACCCTTCTTAGGACTTCCTATGTAGTATCTAATACAGGCCCGGCGACGGTGGGGGGGGGGGGCAAAGGGGCAACTGCCCAAAGGCTCGGTTATGCCGTAAAGCCCGCAAAGCATCGTTAGGCTTTATCTTCATTTAGTGATAAAAGCCATACGTTTTGGCTTTTCTTTGCATATAAACGCTTGATACCTTAAGAACGACTGAAATAATAATTTGAGTAATAATTAATATCTATTTGTTACTTTATAGATTTAATACATATTTGTTGTTACTTTATCAACGTTTTTATGCTTATACTGTGAGGTAAAAACGGCTGCTGCTATGATTTTGTCTGGTTTATGAACTCGTTGCTGTCCTAACTTAGGATCTTCTTTTCAATAAATTCTTGAAAATGTTAAAAGAGAGAGAGAGAAAGGGGGCCCGGCGAGGATGTTTGACCCCGGGCCAGTGTTGGCTCGCGACGTTCCTGATCTAATAGCAATAAATAAATAAATAAATAACTGGTTAATATAAATGGAGGCAACAAAGGCTACTAAAATGACAATTATATATAAATGTATTTGATAAAAATTATACAGTTACGTTTAAATAACGTTAAACAGATACCAATTAATTCTCCTTATCTTTACACATTTCGTAGACGAAAACATGAAGACAAGTGTCAGAACATTTATTTGTTTCTTTATTCCAAACACAAATTCCGTCGACCAGTATGCTTTGCACATTGTTCATGCTTAATCGAAGTCACATGAATTGACCTCATATGGCATATTTGAGTTTTATTGTTTTGATAAAGCTGAATATGAAAGTAATAATTCATGAAAAGGTCAAGTGATTCCAAGAAAAACATTATAATTTGATTTTAATAAATGTCCAATTACATAAACGTTCTTCACTGTTTGGTAATTAGCTTATTGTACAATACTAATAGCGTAACACATTTAAACGACACTGTGATAACAGTACAGACAAGTCAATGTTCAACTGGTCAGTAAACCATCAAGAATTACAGGCAGACCTCAAACATTCAGTTTTGCACATTTAATTAAAAGCGCTCTTTAGGATAGTTAACACTTAATTTCTGTATAAATGTTTTCCTGGATATGAATAATGGTAATTATCAAATCATCAACGAATCCACCTGAAGTTGTAGAATTTTAGAAAAAGCACAATAAACATTTAAATTCCAAAGTTTTTCTAACATAAACTACTATGAGAATAAATCTTGATATTTTTTGTGACATTTTGACTGTTTGATAAATATCCTCGACCTAATCGTTGTGCTAGGAATAGATGATCTTAAAGTAGGTAAGCTGTGTTAACTTTAAGTTTTTTATTATTTTTCTCATAAGTATGAATTAAGAATTTCTATTGTTTAATGAAAACATAGAGGAAGTCTCGACTGATAATATACTTTAAAATCATGTTAAATACCTGCACGGATCAAAATAAAGAAAGGTGACAAAATATATAAACTGGTTAAAAGATAAAAAAAAAACCCACCTAAAATAAGGCTTAAGGTGTTGTGGGACAGCCATGTGTCACGGCTCAACTTAATATGGCACTAATTATTGCACGGTTAAGTATTTTATAATTGTTCAATAGATTTTTGCGAGTTATTGAAAACATACTTAAACAAAGTGAGTTATAACATGTTAATTGTGTAATGTGTAGGGTTTTATTAAGACTTTCAAAAGCTGTCCATTCTTTCAAGATTACTAGTATAACATATTGTGTATTATCATATACATTAATTTAGTCACCAGTTCATTTATCACACCAAATGTTATTCTAATTATCTTTTCTTGGTAACTATGCCTATCATTTCTACAGAGTATTTTAGGTTCAATCAATAAGTTTTTTGGAAAAGACCATAAATAATTTTCTCGTAATGGAGGACAAGCTAACAAAAGATGAAGCCGTGTATTTTGTGTCCAACGTACTTGACATTGCAGAGGCTGAAGAAAAGCTAGTTACAGACCGTAAGATTTTCCTGGACCAACTAGTCCAGAGAATACATGAAGACATTCCATTTCAAAACCTGTTTCTACTCTCAATGGAACCGGAAAATCGTCATCTACCGACTTGGATTGAAATAAAAGAATCTATGATGAGAAAAAGAGGAGGACTCTGTTACATCATTAATGTTTTCATGAAATACTTACTACAGGCCCTTGGTTTTAATGCGTACCATGCTACGTGTTCAGTTTATTTTCCGAACAACCACATCACAACAATAATTAGAGATTTGACATCCGATGGCAGTAAACATCTGGTAGACTTTTCGGGATACCCATTCTTCAAAGCGATCCCACTGGATTTTGAAGAAGAGTCTCCGGTTTATAATATGTCATTTCTCACCTGTAAGTTTATTCGAGAACAAAAATTAATTGTTCGTCTTCATCAAATACAAAATATTTATCAGTGTTCCAGTTCTTCGTATTTTGACAGTTGCCAGGGTATTTCAGATAATTGGTTTCGTTTTTGTGTTATAGACCCTGAACCTCGAGAACTTAATTACTTCGAGGAAGATATGACCAAAGTATTTACGGTACCAGGAGCTAATTCTCCGTTTCTGGAAACATTACGTATTGTACGTTTTCCAGGCCTAAAACTTTGTGCAGTGAAAAATGACTTTGAACTGTCAGAAGGAGATAACCATCGAGTGAAAAGCAAGAAATTTTCATCTAAAGCAGAAGTAGCCAAATTTATCAGAAAGAATTATTCACCGTTCCCTGAAGATATGATATTATCAGGAATTGACAGAATAGATATCTTTAATACTCCTAGTGTGTTTAAATATCAGACGTAATTTCACGACTTATTCGACTTTTCTGGATTTAACTGAGTTGTTTTTTCATCCACTATATTTTACTATATTTGAGAGGGGGTAGATTTAAAATATTTGTTGCTTATAGATTTAGACAATCATTTAATTGCATGTTTAAAACGCATTTAAAAGCATGTTATATTGAAAATTTTCAATTAAGGTGCTACTTAATCATGGTAGTTTAGGGTGTCATTACTTGAGGTTGTGCCTTGCAGATAACTGTTTATTTTCGTTATATTTTCTTAATAAGAAGAATACCCCCCCCAGTGGCACAGCGGTATGTCTGCGGACTTACAACGCTAGAATCCGGGTTTCGATACCCGTGGTGGGTAGAGCACAGATAGCCCATTGTGTAGCTTTGTGCTTAAATACAATTACAAACAAACATAAGAAGAATTTTCATGTTATAACGACTATAAAATAGATATTTGGTGTTTGAAAAATGTATAATTAAGGATACTTATCATACATGCTGACGGTACCTTATTAAATGTTTATATAAAGAATAATTAAGAAATGGATTGTTTTTACTTAAAATGTGTGATATATCGTGTAGAGGGGGTTTACATGGTTGTGTGTTTTTGTCTTAAACTGAAATAAACACATTACTTAAGCATTTGTCTAGATATGTATAATGTTACTTTTTAATCCACTTTATTTCTGTGATTTATTTATTATGTATTGCTTTTTAAAGACAATGGACCAGATAGATTTCCTTCAAAATGCAATGGAAACATTGAGGTAATTGTGGTATATTGTACTTTAAAAAATATCCCGTCAGTGTTCTTAGTAACCTTTAATCAGTCAATGGGTAATGGTCTGTCCTTAAGGTCATGTTGTGTAGATACCGTAAATGATCTTGCTCCGATGTCAAACGATCTGGCTAGTTATATGATAGTGTATCAACAATCTTTCCATCACATATCTGGATATAGCAAAATGAACAACCACGTTTGTAAAATGGTTAAGAGATTTGCAATTTAGGAAAATGTATCATTTAAGTAAAAAAGAAAATTAATATCCCTTTTCAGTTCACTCCTTCTAAATCCCAGATCATATAGCCACTTATTTAATGATGTTGTCATAAAGACTCGACAGCCAACTTCAAATGGAAAGCATTCAGCTTGACGCCCTCTATCTTCATAATGAGATTTAAGCTCCTCATACTTAACAAAATTCCGTTCATTCATGTGCTTCTTTGATAGTATCCTTCCATTATTCTGTCAGCACTCCAATGATCACCAGTCTTCCAATAGCTGACTAGACGACAATATCCAACCTAAGATTTGTGATCACTATCTCTTCTGAAAAGTTCCCTTTCCTTTTCAGGTTTACTATTACCTTACAATAAATTCACTACTTCTAGGTGAGCTGCTACCAGAACTACTTGACCCAAAGCCATTTTTAACAAAGGTGATGAATTGTCTTTGGTTAGATATTATCTCTCTTGCGTTAATCTTCTGCACTCTCTTTTTCAACTGCTTTGGCTATCACTTGGCATACGTTTTACCATCCTCCTACCCCAGTCCATCAGCTCCATTTAACGCTATTCCTGGACCAGCCCTTTCTGCTTCCTTTATGATGATCTTCATTACAAGAATGAACAGGACGGGAGATATAGTACAACCTATGGTCCACCTAAGTTGTAGTATAATCTAGAATTAAGAACATCATCTGGAATTCCCTGTAATACTCCTTGATAACGTTATTCACCTTCTCAAGAACCCAGAAGAAATCAATAAGGTATTTTTTCAATACATGTGGCACAAACCCATTCGCATAAGCGAGATCAAGACACACCACACTCAAATCTATTTTTTTTAGCTTCATGTTTAGTATGTCTTATGATTCTAGTATATTCCAAACAGCCTGGAAAAGCCAGGTATTCTAAATTTTTGCACAGTTTTGTTAGAATACCAAACACGATCTTCTACATTACGCTAACATGAGATCGTCACTTGAAGTGATGAAATGTAACTGAAATGGGAATCACAGAAATACATTTATAAGGTGGCTAATGAAATATAAATTATTGAGTTTCTCTGCTATTTACTTATTCTCAGCTGTGATGTTATTATATTGTCATATTTGTCATTTTTGTGTCCAAATTATTTATCCATATTTATAGATTTCAATGTTTCTTCAAAAATTTGAAGAAATAAATATGAAAAAACACCAAAACCTTGTTAACTAAATTGGTTTCCTCGACTACAAATCCCATAGTATCATATCAATAAATTACACGCACATAAAGAAAAGTGGGAATAAGTTCCCACTGGTATGTCAGCTTCGAAGCTCACGGTGATTGAGACTCTACTGTACCTTTTATTTGATTTCTGACACTGAAAGACTTAAAACAAAGACATTGTATGATCTAAAAGTGTTCAGTGAAAGGAACAGAACAGTACAGGAACATCTTAGTATTTTTGTGCACAATATGTTTGGTATTAACAGATGCTTTACTATATATTGCTTTTTGACTTAATATGTTTGACTGAGAGAAAACAGGTTGTCGGTGATGTTGAAAAATCTGAGTTTATCCGGGTTCATTCCAGAAATCCGTCTAATCACATTAAGATAGGTTACATTTAGCTTGATAAGATTATTTTGTTGTTCAAAACTACACAAATAGACTGTCTCCAAGGGGAATCGAATCCAGAATTTGAGGTTTGTAAGGCCACAAACTTACTGCTAACCCACTGGTGGACCGTAAAATATTTAATCTATAACATAACATTTGAATCATATAACAGAGGAATGTAGGTTTGGTAAGTTTATCTTGTTATTTAAAAAGTGAAAATATCAGAAATAGTTGGGCATTATTAAAACAAAAACCTTGTGGAGATTATTAGAGGGAGGAGAGCTTTTGCCAAGACTTGTACCTCAACTTTAAATAGTAATAGACGTAACACTATTAGAATAATTTTATACAGATTGAATACTTAGCGATAAAATAAAAATAAAGTATTAAAATAAAGATACACAATAGCTATAACGTTTAAAGTAAAAGTGGCTGCTGCCGGTTGGTTGTTTGGATTTACATAAAGAACCACGCTAACTAGACTACTTACATACTGACAAGTATGTTGCAACTGGACTCCATATTTGGTTGGAGGCGAGACTGAGCTTTATCTGGTGCTAAGTTCCTCTTGAGTGTAAATCAAATCAACAAAATCATCATAATGTTCGACTTATAAGAATTAACTTAAGTAAACATTATTCTTGTTGTTCCTTCTATTATTCATTCCTACCCTTTTCTCTTTCTTTCTACTTTTTCCTTCTTTTTCCTCTGAATCCTCTTTTCACCCTTTTTTCAGCTTCTGTACCTCCTTTAATCCCTCTCTCATTTTCGTTTAACCATCCCTTCACAGTTTTCTCCCATGGGACAAATCAGATGTACTCCAATGTTCATTTAGCCGAATTCACATATTCTCGTCCAATAGAGGATCCATAAATTGGACAAGTTCCAACAAGTCCATCATTGAACATAGAGTTTGTGGATAAAATAAATGGCTAAGCATTTTCACGTTTTCGTCCTTTCTCGTTCCTTTAATCCTAAACTTTGCTTTATACACTTTCTTTTGAAGTTACATTCAAAATCTGTTTGACAAAACAGTCACAATTAATTGAAAGTTGTTATACCTCTCAGTTGGAAGGCTGCTTAATGTTCTGAAAGACAATCATTTAAAATGTATAGCTGGATGCTATCTCATCTATTCACATTGAAAATTATCAAACTGTGTCTGATACGTCTACAATAGTACCTTTTTTGTTAGTTCTTTTTCAAATAGGCGATTGTGTAATTGGCCTACCATATTCCATAACATAATGAAGTAGTGGAGTAGTTATGAAGGTTCTGCAATTACAGATAGCAGAAAAATAACAGTTAGAGATGTAGACCAGATGGTTGTCGTATTCGATATAACATATTGATAACGTTTGAATTTGGGAATTCTTGGGCAAATGCAAAGAGGAAGTGTGGCTGATTTGGTTCTTGTATTTGCCAATTCAGTTGATGTCTCTCTCTTAACGTTCTCTTTCTTTTTGTTGTTTCATAATTTCCAGCAAGTTTTCGATCTCGCTCGGAGCGGGTATCGTGAATTTTATTTTATTTTTACCAAAGTAACCCCACTTCTCACATCAGTATTTTAACGGAATTTATTGTTCTTTTGGATGATATGATAAAAACGAAAGCAAAGTTCAGTCCACTTAATGTTAATAAAATCATTTTAGTTCTTTAACTATAAATTTTATCGTTTGTATATTCTTTCATATTACTAAAAGTAGGGGTAAGTTCAGCTTCACAAGTAACATTAAACAGTCACTTATTTGTTAATGCCTCCAGTACTTTGTTGAAACACAAACTCATATTCACAAAACTGAGCTAACTGATCAATAGTCGCTACCTCATTAGTCGAACAAGTAATTATTGTCTAACCAACATTTGATATTTCTCAAATCGTTTCCTATACATTCAATAAATGTTTAGTCATTAAACTACATACTCCTCACGTGAGGAATTGGTAAATTTGTGCAATAAATTTGATCCATTATTGAAATCTCATTTAGAGAAATCGAATGTTTTTCTGGCCTGTCAAATAGAATCCAGAATGACCTCATTAATTGTGTATGGGAAACATTCTTGAATAAATATAAAAGCGAAATAAGTGAATCTCCATTTGTGGCTCTTAACTTAAATGAAACTATTGATGCAAGAACCATTTCTCAGGTTTTTAGTGTTGTGCGATATGTGACTAAAGATGATGAAATTTGCGGGGTTTACAAATGTTAGTGCAGATCTAACAGCTGTAGGTATATCCAAGATAGTGTTTAATTTATTTGGTTAATTAAATATTTGGTCAAACTTTGTTGTGCAAACTTATGATGGAGCAAGCGTGATGTCCAGTGAGCTGAATGGGCTTCAAAATAAAGTTACAGATAAGTATCCAAAAGCTCATTTCATTCATTGTATGGCACATAGATTGAATCTAGTGTTATCGCAATCTATGACGAAGAATGTGACAGAGTATTTGAAAAACATAAATCATTCTCTTTGTTTTTTGCGAAATCAACAAAGCGTGTGCACCTTTCAGATACTGAACTGAAGAAAAGATTCCCGAAAGTGGCTCCGACTCGTTGGAATTATAATCACTGCCTCGTTGAGACTGTCTTGGAATACAAGGAAAACTCGTTGACTTATTTCAAAATATTGTTGATAATTATGGCAACTAGGTTACTGAAACCTTTACCTATGCCAAAGCACTTTCATCGAATCTCAGAGATTTTGAGTTCAATTTCTTGTTGAATATAT